CTGAGGCGGAGCTGACAGCAATGCAGTGTTTTCTGGATAGATGTCACAAACGTAAATATACATCTAAATCATTTTCTATTAAACACCTTCTGGAAAAGCAGGATAGAAAAGTATTTCGTAAGGTATCTGGCATAGACCGACACCCTCTAAGGGGATTATTACCCGAGAGGAAAGTATCGACTTACAATTTAAGGTATCGAACAAGTCAGTATCCGAAAGTTAATACAGATAGATTCAAGAACTCTTTCATTAATCGCTTAATTTTTAAATACAATTTAGCTGTGTGAGTTTATATTTTAGATATATTTAGATATTTTATATATACTTTTTACTCAAATAATTGTAACATAAGATATGTATTTTTTATCTTGTGGAAATAAAGACTACTACTACTACTACTACTAGACCAAACATTTATTCTTTGTTTTTGTTCAGCTCGTGGTTAATATTCGGGAGGACTGTCCCTTAACTGAAGTTCATTGCAAATACAAGAACTTAGGATGCCAAGAAGTGGTATGAAACATCTTATAGTTTGATAAGAAATAGCACACAAACTGCAGTTACAAACATGACAGTAGAACGCATGTTGGAAAACAAGATTAGAAAACTTTACTTGACGTTTCGGATGTTTCGACATACATCTTCAGAAGTGACAGTTAATAATATACATGGCGGCTAAGTTTAAATTTAAGATAAGTAACTAATTATCTTAAATTTAAACTTAGTCGCCACGCGTATTATTAACTGTCACTTCTGAAGATGTATGTCGAAACATGCGAAACGTCAAGTAAAGTTTTCTAATTTTGTTTTTCAACATGCGTTTTACTGTCATCTTTGTAACTGCAGTTTCTGTGCTATTTCTTATCAAGCTACGATGGCCAAAGAGAAATAATTTTTTATCTTACAGTTTGTCTGACCTTTGGGGCAGAGGGGTCAATAATAGACATTCCTTTCTGCATTTGTATTTACATATCATATTTTAACCTGATTTACAACAAATTTTCAATTATTTTTTCTTTATCACATGGTTTATTTGTCATAGAAATTCCTATCTACTAATGCAGTTAAATAAACCTTATACTGTAGATTTCTGAAAGTAATATCAAGATTAGAAATTTACAATAGTCAAATGTAAAGTTTGTTTTGACTTTAAAACCTCGCCATCCTCTTTACAGTTCCCACGACCATCAACCAAAGCTCACTTGGAATTACATGTTGTAAGCCACTTGAACTTAGCGCTTTGCAATCTTGAGATCACTCAGAATCAGGTTAAAGATCAGTCGAAGCAAATTGAGAGATTGACGTGCACCTACAATGATCAGTTACAGCAGTTGAATGACCAGTCAAAGCAGATAGATAGATTGATGACCAAAGATGTGAATCAGTCACGAAAAATTGAGCAATTGATGTCCTCTTTCAATGATCAGTCACAGCAGTTGAATTATCAATCACAACAGATAGCCTGTTTAACGTCCACTGCGCAGGGTCTGGTGCAGCAGATAGAAAGACTGAAGGGCCTGGATCGACATCAAGCTGTGCAGATGAACAAAACGACCTACGAAGCCAAGGGCGGGCCAAACAAGAAAGGGGTAACTAATGTCAAAGTTAAAGAGGGTAAGTTTCTAAACAAACTGTGGTGCTGCGTGGATGGCGGGTGTAATAAGATAACTTGGTGTTTTATTACCTGAGTTCATAATCTAAGTTCGCCGCGCCCCGTAAAGAGTTTCTACAGCTAACGTTTTGACCGGTAACCCTTCGTCACAGCGAATACAGAAATTTTGGGTAGCGTGTGGTTAATATGCAGAAAAATGGAAGTTTCACCAATAATCGAAACTTAAACTTACTTTCTTAATCATGTCTGGCGCACTGTTATCCGCCAAAGGGTATTTAATAGAATTTTTTTACAGATGGGGGGTACTGGTGTGTGGACTCACTCATAAGCGAGAGACCTTTGTTTATTCAGGGTAGCCCATTCAGATGCCCAAAGCGATGATATCAATTTTAGGGCCTTGATAAAAATTCAAATGACAAAAACTAGCAAAAAAAAAAAAGAAGAAAAGAAGCCGCACAATTATACTAAAATATTATTTCTACAGGTAAAGGCCAAGAAAAGTTAAGTTAATCTTAAAATATGGGCTATCTACAGTTACAGTAAAAATGAATAAAATCTTAACACATTTAAAAATTTATCCTCTTAAAAATCACAGAACTGAAGCCACAGGACTCCTAAGGGAGTCTACCAGGCAAGTTACAGCGTTTGTGAAGTATTTATTAAATGCATTAGTAATTGAACGCTTGTCACTGGGAAGATTGTTCCCGATCTTTAAAGTTGGCGACGGTTCTATGCGATCACTTGACAAAAGTTTTTCCACTGTTCTCCAGAAAGCCGTACTGTCATGACTATCCTGCTCGATGACGCGCCTGTTATAAGCTTCTTTAGCTTTTTTTAATCTTACCAGTGACGCGATTTCTGAAGTAGCGTTATTTTTTCCAGTTCTCTGAGAGGTGTGTTTTCCTAGCTTTCATTATAAAAAATCACGTTCCCACATATAACGCGCTTTATATCACTGTTTCACTATGGACAACTGTTTACCCCACGCACGCGTTTATGCATGACAGGCGCGTGCCGGTTGGCAATGGAGATAAAAGCCATTTGGAAAAAATCCCCGAGATAATTAACACTAGTGTTCTCATTGTCTCTCTCAAGGACTGATGCTTCGTGCGTACGGCTTAAGTAAACTCCTTTGAGATCTTAACAAAAATTTACAGGATCATAATTTGCATAGTTCCTAATTGTTTTCATTTGAGCTGGCGCTTTTTTCCAGTTGAGTTTTCGGACGCAATAAATAATCTCATGATCACTAAGACTGGCACATCAGTGAGGTCTAATTCGTGATCGTGATGTATTTCGTATGATGTTCATTATGATGATCTACTGCTCTTGTTATATTTGTTTAAAATGATTTCTCTGATGTCGTTACAGGTGATACTGTGAAACAGGGCTTTAAGCCTAAATCAATCAATGATGTTGAAATAGGAATGAAGGTATTGTTTAGGGGTGGTCTGTGTAACATGAGATTTCGAGAAACAGTCAAGTACGTCGGACCTCTTTCTGAGGCACTTTTTACGAGGAGAGATTGTCTCGGTGTAGAGTTGGATCCAGATAAAGGTATTATGATTATTCGGGTGTACTAATCTAGATAACTTGTGAGTACATGACTCATGATGAAAGTGTATAATATCTAAACTTGAAACTTTTAAAAATACTTTACATCGACTACTGTATGTATCAAGTAGTTTCTTTCAGACGGAAAATTTCAACACAGTGTCTAACTGTCTCGGAGTAAAACACAAACATTTGATAAGCAGCACTGAAATTTATTCTGAAGGCAATAAAACGAGGATGCTCTGTAAAGTTTAGTGCCGAGATAGTTCACCCAAGGCTCAAAACCTTGTCATTTCATACTGAAGTTTTTCAGAAAACTACCCTTCAATCACAGTAAAACTAAACCTGCAATTAGGTTAAAATTTGTTTGCGTGTTTTCTAGTAGTAAATCAGGCTCGCCTTTTATATTGATTTTCTCTTACTGTAGATACGTCCAAGCTAAAAGTTTTTTGTGAAGGTGTAGTCTGATCGTCCGGGTGAGTGTAGTCCTGAGAAGGACTGTTGTCGGTGGCAGTGACTGACGTTTCGACAACCTGTGCGGAAGTCATCATCAGAGTCAAGTGAGTGATTGTTGTCAGTAGAATGTTCTTATTCCAGTTCGTGTGAAATGATCGGTTGGTTTTGCCGTGATGTTATTGGCTGTAAGACTCAAGTGACGTAAGTCGTTCGTGATTGGTCTGTTTCGGTCTGTCGGTAAAGCTAGGTTGTTCTTTTTCGGTCGTTTGTGATGTTTATGTCGTGAATGAGTCGTTTGTATGGGGCGGGTAGTTGTTGACATCTGTTTAGGGGAGTCTGTTCTAAGTTAGTAAACCAGCTTTCCAGAGTCAGTCGTTGAAAATAGTCAGTGCTGTAGGTTAGGCATTGCGCAGAGTCCCAGTCAATGTTGTGGTTGGTAAGTCGATGGTGTTCAGCAATGTGATTGCTGACATCACCTTTCCTCGTCGCCCGTCTGTGTTCAGTCAGTCTTGTTGTGAGGTTTCTGCCAGTCTCACCGATGTAGGAGGCTTGGCAGTCGGAACAATTGATCTTATAAATCGTTCCCTGTCTGTTCCTCGGTTCGTCTTTGTCTTTAACGTTGGTTAGTAACTGACGTAGTGTGGTGATGGGTTTGTGGGCGACGCGGATATTGAAGGGTAGTAAGATGCGCGAGATGTTTTCAGACATGCCTTTTATGTACGGTATGGTTGCTGTAGTCGTAGGGGTTGCGGTGTCGTTTGTTTCGGTAGTGGTAGTGGGTCGGTGAGTGTTTCGTCGGATGAAGTCGTTGTTGTAGTTGTTCTTCGTAAAAACACGGTGAAGGTATTTGTTCTCGTCGGATAAGCTGTCTGTCGAGTCGCATACTAGTTGTGCGCGTCGNACGACGCGCACAACTAGTATGTGACTCGACAGACAGCTTATCCGACGAGAACAAATACCTTCACCGTGTTTTTACGAAGAACAACTACAACAACGACTTCATCCGACGAAACACTCACCGACCCACTACCACTACCGAAACAAACGACACCGCAACCCCTACGACTACAGCAACCATACCGTACATAAAAGGCATGTCTGAAAACATCTCGCGCATCTTACTACCCTTCAATATCCGCGTCGCCCACAAACCCATCACCACACTACGTCAGTTACTAACCAACGTTAAAGACAAAGACGAACCGAGGAACAGACAGGGAACGATTTATAAGATCAATTGTTCCGACTGCCAAGCCTCCTACATCGGTGAGACTGGCAGAAACCTCACAACAAGACTGACTGAACACAGACGGGCGACGAGGAAAGGTGATGTCAGCAATCACATTGCTGAACACCATCGACTTACCAACCACAACATTGACTGGGACTCTGCGCAATGCCTAACCTACAGCACTGACTATTTTCAACGACTGACTCTGGAAAGCTGGTTTACTAACTTAGAACAGACTCCCCTAAACAGATGTCAACAACTACCCGCCCCATACAAACGACTCATTCACGACATAAACATCACAAACGACCGAAAAAGAACAACCTAGCTTTACCGACAGACCGAAACAGACCAATCACGACCGACTTACGTCACTTGAGTCTTACAGCCAATAACATCACGGCAAAACCAACCGATCATTTCACACGAACTGGAATAAGAACATTCTACTGACAACAATCACTCACTTGACTCTGATGATGACTTCCGCACAGGTTGTCGAAACGTCAGTCACTGCCACCGACAACAGTCCTTCTCAGGACTACACTCACCCGGACGATCAGACTACACCTTCACATGTTACCCCCGGGTTCAAACCATTTACTGCATAAAAGTTTTTTCTTTACGAAAATACTGCTTATTCTTTATCTAGAGTTACCG